GAGGGTGGTGAGGCCCTGGCACAGGTTGCCCAGAGAAGCTGTGGCTGCCCCATCCCTGGAAGTGTTCCAGGCCAGGTTGGACAGGGCTTGGAGCAACCCGGACTAGCGGAAGGTGTCCCTGCCACAGCAGGGTGTTGGAATGAGATGACCTTTAACTCCCTTCCAACCCAACCCACCCCATGATTCAATGAATCCCACACACCTGATGTCCCTCTGGAGGCGGCAGCGGCACAGGAACCTCCTGACCAGGGCCTGGAGCTGCACAGCCGCTCGCTCCCTCTCCTTCAGCTCCCGCCGCTCCTCCCGCGCCTGCCGCGCCTTGTCCAGGAACTGCGCCCGGGAGCTCTGGCTGGCACTGAACATGGCTGGGGCTCTGGGGAGCAGACACCTGGGAAACTGGGAGCAGAGGGGGGAAAACACACAGGGTAGAGCAATTCTCTGCCTCTGCACTGACTGCAGCAACGTCCAGGGAGGGGAGAACCCAACAGCAGAGGAATAAATGTGAGCACGCACAGGCAGGGCCCTGTCACGGGGCTGCCCCGGGACACACACACTGACACAGGACCTTCCAGCACAGTCCACAGCTGCTGCAGGCAGGGAGATTTTGAGAGGAAAAAAATAAATAAACTGGTGTTCTGACACTGTTTTCCACTCCTTAACTCCACCTCCCCTTCCAGCCTCTATTATGTTCACAGCTAAGAACAACTCTACAGGCAGGGACAGGGGGCAAAGGGCACAAGGGACACTGATTTATTTCCATTCACCAGACAAAAAACACCCAGAGCCAACAGGAACTTTATAAACAGTGACAAGGAACTCACCTGAGGGGTCTCTTCTTCAGAAGTGTTCAGTGCTCATTTACACACACACATGATCCCACCCAGTGCCTTGGGGCAGCTCCTGCACGGATCAGCACATTCCCTGTGGGTGGTTTGCAGGTTTAGAGCTTCCCTGTGCAGTTCTAAGTTCTTTGGCCAGATTTCCCTCCCGGCGCACCAGCAAGGGAAGGGTAAGTGGGGAAAGCTCCAGGAGAGGAGAAGCAGCCCCAGGGCTGTGGGCAGTGGCTACTGGGGAGCAGGGATAACTCCGTGTGAGAAGGACAAGGCGATCCAGGGCCACAGGGACCGGCGAGATCCGAGCAGGTGCCACCCCCGAGCTGTGGGGGCAGGACTGGGAGCCACCACAGCCCCCGAAGGGGGCTCCACACCTCGGGACTAGGCCAGGCCGCGAGCAAAGCAGCCAGAGAGCGCCCCCGGACCCCTCTCACAGCCCCCTCAGGACCTCCTCGCAGCTCGCCCGAAACCCTCTCGCAGCCTCCCGGCCGCTCTCAGAGTCCCCTCAGACCTCCCTCAGCCCCTCCAGTCTCTTCCCAGCCCCCCAACCCCGCTCACAGCCCCCCCACTCCGGGCCCAGGCTCCCTCCGCGCCGCTCACCCC